CTTCTCACAATCAGCTGATTCACTGAGATTTGACTGGTGTGATGGTCATTGTTGTTGGTCTCACAGTGGAGGTCCACTTCCTTAAAAGCTTAAAAAATATGTAAAGATGCAATTTTCCTGCCAAAGAAGACACTATCAAGTACAACATTTTGATGCAAAAGATTTAGAGGGCAGTTTTTTTATTTAGCTTGCCATTCTCACATCTAGTGCACTTAAAATTAAAATGTGTATAAAAATTGTCATAGACTAACATGTTTACACTGTTCACAATTTCACAGTCTGTATGTGCAATTTTGATTTTGATCACCAAGTCCTTCTCCTTTGCGCCAAATATTCGGTTTTTCCTCTCATATAGGCTTTACTATTACAGTCAAGTTTTAAGATGGATATTTGACAGACATTTTCTCAATGATTCACTAGAAGGAGGCATTGAGCAGAGGTTTCAAACTGCCTAAATCAGAGGTGAGACCATAGACATCATATCGGATATGATGAGACACACTGCAACTGTAAGGTCTGGTGCTCCTGCCTCTTGCTCAGCCCCTCGTTCCCTTTTCAAACTCTTCTAATGAACTGAAAGTTTAAGAGCTAAATATGAATAAGATATTTGCTACCTTTGACAAAAAAGCTCAAGTCTATAAAAGCAATGTAGCCAGTTTTGATTTCCAGGGCCGTTTATCATGATTCAGTAAAAGTAATGAAATAACAAACTGCAGTCTGATTTTTATTGTTAATGTGTTTCTTCCTATTGAGCAGTGAAAGTAAATAAAAGGTGTTACATGTCTTTTAAGTATTCACTTACTGGAGAGGTTTTTGTTCATGGTGCAGAGCCGCAGCTAACAATTAGCTCCTCATTTCCGCGGCTCTGATGGAGCCTGTACAGTTCAGCGCTGCTGTTGCTCCGCCCACACTTTGGACTGAACCATTGTCCTAATAATGGTGGGGGGGACCTAAAAAATAATTCTTATTTCTTTCTTCGGTGAATTGCAGATGTATTTAATTCTTTGTTTCTTTTGCCTTTTCATATTGATTTTAATGCAAATGTTTCTTCAATGATTTTATGTGGGGGGAGGAGGGGGCAAATCTAGACTTCTCCAAGATTGGGGGTTGTCCGCCCCCCCTCCCCTCCGGGATTTACGCCTACGCTTTCTGCAAAAATGTGTGCTAGCTTATTTTTTCATTATTAATGGGATACTTTGGTTAAGTTTGAGCACTATCTCCCTTGCTCTGCAATTATAAATGGTCACATTGTCACATCAGCAGATATGTGACACTTCTGGTAAAAATAAAATACACAAATAAAGCCAGATTACAAATGGACAAAGATCTGTTGTAATTTTTCAGTCCGACATAAACAGAACATGTTAGAGGTTTTCATTCAACTGCAAACAATAACACAATTTAGTTTTTCTGTTGTTATTGATAGGCTTTTTTTTTTTTTTTTTTTTAACCATACCTGAATAGGCGTGATTATTGATCCATTTATTGGATGAGCTGAAGCCTGTGGAGCTGCTGAACCGACTGGACCGCAGGAAACCACTGGAGTCGCTGAGGCCATCTGAGCTGCTCAGGTCATTGGACACTGAGAACATGGTTGTCTCTCTGCACAGCTTTTCCACTTGAGATGCTGGAACAGTAGAAAGCTCTGTGGCTGGGTATCAACTGCGGGCCACTTTTAAAGGCCCTGGTCACACCCCTGTAAGTGAGGAATGCATGCTGAGAGCAAGTTTTTAATTCCTTAGAAAATACAGCAGGTGTCAAGTGTAACAGGTTTAGGAAGAGAGTGAACTGTGCCACAAGGCAGTGACTCAGAATGGCAAAACATTTTCAAGAGTGTTACTTTAATTGTACTTCAATTAATTTGTTTTTTTATTCTTCAAGTTTTCAAGTTTTGGCAATATTTTAAATATTTGACTATATTTTTCAATTTTGTAAAGAAAAACATTTAAATAAGCATTCACATTTATCTAAGACTGTAATTTAATAAGAAAACAAACTATAGTACTACAGTTTTTTTTCAACTTGATCTTACTTTAAATAATTCCCTATACCCTCTTAGATAGGAAACTAAAGAAAGAAGTGGCCTTAAGGACCACTGTGGTCAAAAGCACTAAATGTTGAATTGATAAGCTCACCAATTTTAATGTTTTAGAACAAAATGAAGTGATAGAGTTAACTGCATGTGACATTTATTGGATTAAACAGAAAACAAAGGTATGCTGTTAGAAACAACAGCACAAAAACGTGTTTTTTTACCGTAGTCTTTGGTTCTCACCATTCATAGAGGGAGTAAATGTGTTTTGCCGTCACTGATCATTGTCTGATCATTATCAGCATGAGCTCCAGTGAAATGTTTTCACTGAATTTCTGAGTGACAGATGGTATGAAAGCTCCAAGGCTGAAAACTTGACTTACAACACAAGCAAGTACAGCAACATTTAGCGTTGACCTTTACACATGCGTTTGACACGACTCGTACATGCTGTTCTCCAGCTAATCTAAATGTGAGTTTTTCCTTGAGAAATAAAACAAAAACACATTTCAAGTTTTTGCAGATCTTCTTTTAACAGAAAAAATCAGACTCCAGAGAAACCACTCTAGAATCAGCATGTATTTGATTAAAATCTTTCATCTCTAGACTGAACATAATTATGTTTTTTAAGTTTGATTTTGAATAAACAAGAACCAACTTTATATAAAACTACAGAAAATGCTCCACACTAGGAAAACTTCCACAAATTTCAGTCACAGCCACTTCATTGTAGTATTTTAAGTATTTTGGGCTACAAATGTACAACAAACTGTACTGGATTATCACAAAGCTGTAAAAAATTATTTGCCTCATTATAGATTTTTTGCTGTTTTATTATTTTACTGTGTCACATCATCAGATAAATATTAATACTGGATAAAAATAACCCAAGTGAACACAAATCCAGAAGCTACAACACCAGCTAATCACAACTAAAAGAGGAAACATGAAGTCAGGATTTGTGCAAGAATAATAATAAAAAATCATTTTAGCAGTATTTGCTGTGTGTCTGCTTCCATTAAAGTGAACAGTTGTCACTAATCCTTATTTAACATCAGAACTTCTGCAGGAGTTAAACAGGTTCCAGTGAAATGCTCTTTTTCTGCATTCCTATGTGACAACTGGTGAGAAAATAATGCTTGAGTTAAAAACTTACAGTTCATTCTTATGCGAGTTTGATTTATTTCATAGTTAATTTTTTTTCAGTTTAAATGAAACATATAGAGGAAGAAAGGAGAGGTTAGTTTTCTTTCTCTCTCCATTTTTCATTTAAATTGATTTTCAAAAATATATAAACCTCTTACAACTTTTTAAAACTTTCATATAACCACAAAATTTTATATATAGTTTGGGGATCGGGTTGAAACCACATGAAATGGTGCAGCGATAGGAAGAGTTTTATTCTTTTACATATGAAATCTAAAACTGACTTCAAGCTTAAATTCAGGTGTTTGTCTTTTTTGTAGAATCACACTTTGTTGCAACTAGTTGAGCAATCTGTTGCAAAACAGCTCAAGATCACAGATTGGACATATGTGATCATTAATTTTCAAGTCTTTCCACAATTTCTCAGTCAAATTTCTGTATAACATTGAGGACGCCATTTTATATTTTAAATTAAACATTTAAAAAATAATGAAACAATATAAATAGAGTATTTTTTTTTATTAAGGAGTTTAAATCTTAAGATTAAATCGTGTTGGCAATGGAACATTTTGGATAAAAACTCATTGATATTTTGATGATTTATCTTTTATAAGTTTTAGTCTTGCAGGTTGGAAGGCCTCTTTGACATCACCCTAATCTTTCACTCCCTGAATAAATTCTCCATTGAAATATTGATTTCCAATTCAAATTCCTAATCACCTAAATGAGTAACTTACTGCTGGTGTTGCTTCTGATGTGACTTTCATCAGCTCTGTTGGGTTCACGACTTTTCAGAAGACATTACAATCTGTCAAAGTGTTGACAGGATGATGAACAATCTTGTGCTAAAGGTAATTAAGTACGGCTTTATGGCTCGACAAAAAACATGTAGGACAGGACGGTCAGGATCCGAAAGATTAAAACGTAAAATGACTCTGTAAGTTCTTATGAAAAAGACTGAAATGCTTGTAGTTTATCTTATTTATAACTTTCATCCAGCAAGAAACAACGACGGAGTATTAGGACCAGTCAGGAATGTTTTTATCTTCCAGGAGAGTCCTGATATGAGAATAAAGTCATATTACCAGAATAAAGTCGTAATAATGTGAGAATAAAGTCATAATATTACCATCGTAAAGTTAGATTATCAAGTTAAAGTCAGGAGAATGAAGTAGTAATTTAGGAGAATTCCTCCTTGACATATTAATGAAAAATAAAATGAGGAATGCAGAGCATCTTACAAAGTTACACTTTTTGTTTTTAATCCATTTTACAAATAAGGAAATAGTAAACCTTTAACACATCAGCATCAAATTATTGTAAGTGCAGGACTTAAAAATTATTGTGCAAAAGACTCTACATTTATTGAGAAGGAAGAAGTATGGATTTGCTGAATGTCAGATCTGGATAACTATCAAAACTTTGCATTTCGACAGTTAAAATGACTTTTCCATCTGGTAATATTGCATCTTTTTTCTAATGTTATGACTTTGTCATATGATGATTTTATTATCATAACTATTATTACTTTCAAAAAATGAAAATCTTTCAGTCTGGCTCTAATATTCAGTTGTAAAAAAAAGAGCAAAACAAGCTATAAAGAAAGCAAATCCTCTGACTTTATTTAATTTAACATCTCTGAAAGAATATTTTACTTTCAAAACATTTCAAGTCCAACAAAAAATGAGCTGGGACAAACTGGAAATTACCCAGACAAAATGTATTTCCAGATTTTATATAGTCTTTTTTCCCCTCAGAGTTAAAGTAATTCCCATTTTTCTTTTCTGGCGCTTTTACATAAACTGAAATGCAAAAGCGGCCATTAGATGTATGTTACAATCTTTTTATTAAAGGAAATCAGCCGTCCAGCTCAATCAGTTCTTTGGCTTTCTGAACATTGTGGTCGACGGCTCCCTCTAAGAACTGAACCCAGCTCAGCTCTGCTTCTCCACACACATGGCTGGATCTGGATGGTGAGCACAAGTCAAAGCTGTCATCACTAAAACAGCAACATTTATCACAAACCATTTTAATGCCAGATTAAAGACAACATGCTGAAACAAAACATTACACTGAAAAATTTGTCTTATTAGCCCATTTTAGAGGCGATTAGTAGGAAAACTGAGATTTACTGCATATGCACATGAAAACTTCAAGGTTTCCATGACAGGAAGTCTGATATCTAACATCTCTACAAATGCAGATATAAACCCCAGGATGTGCTGCAGCTAAAACAAAAGAAAGAAATGCTCCATTTAGATTCTGTTTTAACATAAATGCCAGTATCCTGCATGTTTTAGTTCTCTCCTTGGTGGTAGTAACAACCATTTCAGCATGTCAGTATTCCTCTAATGAGCCATCATTTGGTCCAGGTGCATTAAACCAGGGAGAGAACTAAAACACGCAGGATGCCGGCCCTCGAGGACCGACTTTGGGCACCATTGTGGTAGATAAAAAATTCATGATTGCATCAACTCTGTGACATTGTCCAAGGAAAGGCAAGTACACGATAAAACAAAAAACTCATAACATCAAAGTGTAAAGTAAAGAGAATGATTGTATTTCTGGACTCAGAACTGGGTGATGTGCTCTGTCTTCCTGGTTTTAGTCAGAACGCCAGCAGCAGCGATCTGGATCAGCTGCAGGATTGATTTTTTTAGTTAGACCTGTTGCAGTAATAAATGCGATTAAAGATAAAGACATGGATGAGTTTCTCTAGATCTTGCTGGGACATTAGTCCTCTACTCCTGGAAATGTTCTTCAGGTGACAGAAGGCCGGCTTTATAACTGTCTTTATGTGTCTCTGAAGGTTCCGGTCAGAGTAAAGTAGAATCAGCTGCAGACCATCACTCTGCCTCCACCATGTTTGACTGTTTCTGAAAGCTTCAGGTCAGACGTATGTCGACACAAACCTTCCAGAAAGGTCAACTTTTGTCTCGTCAGTCTAAATAATATTTTTCAGAAACTCTTGGGGATCATTAATGCATCGCTGCTGAATGTTAAAGGATCTCACTGTGGTTCACTTTGTAACCCTTTTCAGACTCATAGATTGATTTTCTACTTTTTTGATGAAGTGTTGAGACCTTTCAGCCATCATAAATATCCCATTAAATCATTATTATATCTGCAGATCAACAGAGTCTAACTAGTAAAAACTAGTCGCCACAGTCAGTTTCTCCCCCCAGGCTTTCTGTCTGAAAAACAAAATCAACTCCTTAAAGCCTGAGTAGGCAGCTGTAAAACAAGATAAACATGTTTGCACTATTTTCACATAAAGTACTGGGGTGCATATTAATATATGTACATATTCTTAATTAGTATTTTCTTAATCTCCAGTAAAGTTTATATATTTATGTCTGTACACTGTGAGCATGTGAAACCAAACGTTCACACACATTAACATTAAAGTTGATTCTGAAGTAATAATCTCACCTGGGTGAAACGGAGCTCAGCTTTCTAATTTTATCAGTTATGGACTTAAAAAGACGGGCAGTTACTTTTTCCTAAGGGTCAGGAGGTTTGGATAGCTTTGTCCTCTTAATAAATGAAATTATCATTTGAAAACTGTTTTCAAATGGCTCCAAAAATACAATCTCAAGTATTTTTGACTACTTAATATCTCAGTACACTTAATATAAGACAAAACTAATTTACAAGTAACTTTCAGTAAGATGTTGGAACTTGTTTTAAGTCAGTAATTCCTTAATATTTATAAAAGAAAAATATGGTTCCACTGACAGATCATTTCACTGGTGACATGAAAAAATGTCTTATTTGTTGTAAAATGCTGGTTAACTGTAATCAATATGATAATTGTAATGTTCTGCATAAATTCAATATTTTCTGTATATCATGCATTCTTGATTTTCACAGATTCAAGCTACTGTGGATAAATGAATCTTACCTAATCAGGTCCAAAAATTTCCTTAACAATGCTGCCAATTTAGACGTCTAGATGGAGAAAAAGAAAATGTTTGTTATTCTTCAGAAGTATAAAGAACAAAACTCAATGCCAAGGTTATGGAAATGCCTAGAATATCAAAAATGGTATTTCTTAAGCTTCATAAATAACACTCTTAAGGGAGAGTAAAGAATTTCATTCTATTTTTCAGATCAGAAAGAATGCAGGGTTGTCTTACGTGGTTTTCCACTCCAGTGTAATTCATGGGTGGGTAGAGACAGAGGGCGAGATCGTCCACACTATGAAGGAAAACATCAATAAAAGGAAAATATCTTCATGGGAGTGAACAGTTTAAAAAAGACCTAAACTTTTGACATCATCTGAAGGAAACAATACAAGTCAAAACATCCTGTAAATAACTTGAACCAGCTGGCACAAACAAACATATTTTGATTTAAATTTATAATTTAATCAGCAGGAGTCTGCTTAGTTAATGTACCATCATTAACTTTTTCCATTTAGTTGCAACTTTTTTCATCTCTATGTAAAATCCAGCAGAAACAACAACACCATCTATTTACCTGGGGCTGATTTCCCGGCTGATGTCGGCCAGATCGTCCAGCTGAGCGACCTTCTGAGGTTCGGCAGCGTCACCGTTGGCCTTGACAGCTGATGTAAGTTTCCTCAGACACGCAGCAGCTGCTTTCATTAACCCCTGACACGCA